ACCTGCACCCACAGCGAGCATGTCACACTGGATTCTGGATTTATTCTCAGAGTGGAGCGCTCAGGTGTCGTCCGTCTGCATCACGCAGACTCAGATATCTGCTGATCAGTGACATCCAATCAAAATCCTAAACCTGGAGCTCAGCCTTGTAGAGGGTCTGTTAGTACAGTGACATCATAGCAGCCATAATATTTTCAGATGATGTCATTAAAAAGTCTCCAGCAGCACAGACACGGTCCACGGGTCCAGTTCAGGGTGGAGCTAGCATCCACCTGTTAGTCAGAGAGGCCACGCCCCTAATAATGCAAACTTTAGTCCTTCATACAGTAAAAAACAGGTTCCTGTATCAGGCTGTAACCATGGGAGTCTGTGGGGATCACTCCTGCCTCTGCTGGAGGTTAGAGAAACTGCAGGTTTACGAGGTTGAGAAATGGAAATAATTCAAATAAAAATAACTTGAGTGGTCTTCGGTCTGTTAACCTTCTTTGAACGATGTCAAGAGCTTGTAGACTGACCAAACTGCTTGTTGTGATGTTTGTTGTTCTTAGTTTTTTTAAAGTGTGGCTCTTTTCAGTTTTGAGGGTGAGCCGAGATTTGACTTCCTTCTTCTTTGGCTGTGAGAAATAAAACTGCATAGACTGCAAAGAAGCACATGTTATCAGCTGCTTTTAAACTGGCCTCTGTCATCAGTTTGTGTGTCCTGCTGTTGTGTTGTTGTTGACCAGGGCGAGCAGCTGTCAGGTAACGACATCACCGGAGCGCTGTGCATCAGTCAGCCATGGCCGGGGATTGCTCGGAGCATCTACGGCGACCACCAGAGATTCGTCGACACGTATTTCAAACCGTATCCTGGTCAGTGCTACAGCGTAAACCCTGGCCGTCTGTAGTTTTGTAGAGTCACCGTCTGAGAGCTGCGTGTTTTTCTTTCAGGTTTTTACTTCAGCGGCGATGGAGCCTACCGCTCAGAGGACGGTTTCTACCAGATAACGGGCCGCATGGATGATGTCATCAATGTGAGCGGTCACCGCCTCGGCACGGCTGAGATCGAGGACGCTCTGGTGAGACGCACACAGGCCTCAGAAACGTGCCGACTATTACTCTCTTTAAACCTTTGAGCACATTTGAAGGATTTTGAAGGATCTGACCCCGAGGTCAAGGTCACAGGTCAAGTTTTCTGAAAATCACGTGGAAGCCATCAGTCGAGAACAAGGCGACGTAGGAGATTGATATGGATACCACAGGTGCATCTTCAATATTTGTGATTTCGCGGGGCTGACACGCATGTGCTCTTCCCTGCAGGACGAACATCCAGCTGTTCCAGAAACAGCTGTCATAGGAATCCCACATGACATCAAGGGAGAAGGTAAGGACACGAGGAAGGAGGGAAGGAAGGGGAGAGATGAAAAAGCCTGATTGGTTTTATTAATGATGATGACATCAAGCGCATGAGACTCTGCTGCCCCCTGCTGGGCCGTCACTGAGTCTGCAGGCAGAGTCAGAAACGTAGAGAAACAAGTCAGAGTGCTGAGGGGCAGTGCAACTGTCCAGTCAGAAGATTTAGGTGTGTGTGTGTGTGTGTGTGTGTGTGTGTATGTGTGTGTGTGTGTGTGTGTGTGTGTGTGTGTGTGCCCTCAGTGCCTTTTGCCTTCGTGGTTTTAAAGGAGGACCTCAGTGATGACGCTCCCGCCGTGCTGCAGCAGCTCAGAGACCTCGTCGCCACCAAGATTGCCAAATACGCCGTCCCCGAGCACTTCCTGGTCAGTATGTGTCTGAACTCGCCTCCACACCCCTCAGCAGGAAACAGGAAGTACCAGAAACAACAACAAACAGGAAGATTTACATAAATATTTAGCTGTGATCTGGAATATTTACATTCATATATTCTGATTGTTTCCTGCTTCGGTCCGTTTTACAAAACCAAAAACGTTTTTCTTCTTCTTCATTTGTAATTTGTCGGTTGATTATATTATTGATCACATTATTTGCTGGCGTTCAGCTATGTCATCCAATCAGAGCTCAGTTTGCCACTCTTGTCTGTCAGGTGGTGACACGGCTGCCGAAGACCCGCTCAGGTAAGATCATGAGGCGGATCCTGAGGAAGGTTGCCATGGAAACAACTGAGGATCTCGGCGACGTGTCGACTTTGGACGACCCGTCCGTTGTCAAGGAGATCATAGAGGCCCACGAAGCGTACAGAAAGCAGAGACAGGAGGAGAAGAAGAAGAAGTAGAAGAATTAGGAGGGAGGTGGGCGGGGTGTCACGTACAGGTGAAGGCTCTGCTCCAATCAGGAGCAGTGCGGCAGTCAGTGCCGCTGCTGATTGGAGGAACAAAGACGCCGAGACACTGAGGGCGGTTTTCTCTCGTTACCAATGGATCCAACTTTTAAATGATTTTATTTTATTTCTTCATGTCATCTTAAATTCAGCACATTTATAGTCTGAAATCTCAAACTGTGCAATTAAGCAATGATGATGTAAATACACAGAAATAAACAGTAAACGTTCACATCGGTCTGTGTGCTTTTATTTATTTAAGGTTGGAACAACATCAAATTAGTTTTAACCATAAAACAGTAAAGATCTTAAATCTGTTTCAGATTCTGTAAATTTGACTTTGTAAATAAAAAATATCTATACAGACAAAACATATGATCAAAATAAGAATTCTCAGCTTTCTGGGTGTAAGGGGAAGACTTTTCTTGTTTTATTATTATTAGTTACAAGATTTTAGATATATATCTTTGCATTTCAAAATGAAATATAATGCAACAAGATTGTAACAGCAGTAGGAAAGAGCAGTAACAAGAGTAGGACAGCTAAGCTAATTATGGCTAAACATTTGGAATTTAGTGAAAGCAAAAACTGACCTTGCAAAGATGGATAGGTTTATTTAGAAAGTCAGCTATTTACATTTAGTGTTCATCCCAAGTAGGAGATTTTGAATTGAGTCTAAATTGACCGCAAATTTACTTAACTTGTTAAAATCAACCAGGCTGTTACTGAAGCAGTCGAGGAATTACCTTTGAGGTCTCAGTCATAGGTATTAATGCAAAATCTAACATTACACTAACCTTATATTTTTGTAAAAGGCAAAATGGACTTTTTTCCAGGGTGGGGGAGT